GGGGAGAGGGATGGGGGTGAGGGAGGCGGTGGTGGTGCATATGTGTGGGCCCCGCCTCTGGCGACCCGCTGGCAGGCGGTGGGCGCCGGACACGCCCGGGAAGGGCCCCCCCCCCCCCCCCCCCCCCCCGGGAGGGAGCCCCCGCGGCGGAGGTCCGCCCCCCTCTCTCCCGGGAGGGGCAGGGGGGACCGCCTTCACGGGCGACGCGAACACAGGGGGTAGGGCAGAGGGCGGGAAATCCACCCCCACACAGTCGAGGCGTTGACCTAAGGAACTTTAAATAAGGAGCGAGGCCCCTTGTTCCCATAGGTTCAACCTCGATTCCCCATGGAAAACCTCCGGAAAACCCGAGGCAAACTTTGGAACAACCAAGGAACACCGAGCCCCTCCCCAACGAAAAGGGTTCCCTCTTCAGCGCCCCGACTGTAATAACCACCCCGACACGCGAAGCTGTTTAGTAAAAACGCACCCGAAGAAGGAATCAAACAGCAGGGCTGTTTAGGAAACGCCCAAGGCCGTTCAGTAAGCGCCAATTGTCCCGTCTGGGTGAGAGGCCAACAAAGTTTGAACGGGTGCTTCCAAAGCTCAACTGTTTAATAACAAAGTAAACGGTGCAAGAATGTCGAATCGCCCCGTCTCCTGCCAGCACCGCGCATAAAGTGCAGGCAGCGCCGCCCACACTAGCATATAGGGAGGCGCTGCCTTGAAGCAAGACGCCCGCGGTAACAGACAACCTCATGTCCCCACTTGGGATATACGTTCAAAGTAACAAGGCTGCTGACCCTAAGGTAGTTCAACGCTTTTCACTGTTCACGCTCTTCGGTCGAAGATCGATCCGCATGCAATTTTCGCAAGCCCCAAGAGGGCCCCCAAGCAAACATGACGGCCCCTAGAGAAACATGACGGCCCAAGAGGGTCTCCAGAGGGACCCGGGACGGTTCAACAGGGCCCTTAGACGGCCGAAGGCGGCATCAGGGCGACGCCAGGATGGCCTTAAGAGACACCCCTGACGGCCAAGAGCGCCACAAGAAAACCCAAGAGAGCCCCAACATGATCCAAAACGGCCCCAACACGGGTCCAAGGAACCCGCAAGACCGCCCCGACAGTTGCCACAAGCACCCTCAGTACTGCCCACGTAAACCCCATGAGGGCTCCTCACGAAGACAAGCCGAGAGGTGTCGCATGCGACGGCCTTCTGAGCGGTGACCGAGCGGTCGCCACCCGGTGGCACGGTGGCAGGTTTGCCGCAGGCAGCTGGATACGCCAATCCCGCGCGCAGGAGTCCCACCAGCCCTCTGGGCGTAGGTGGCTTCGGGAGTTTCCTCTTCCACTCTTCCACCCCTCCCTCTTCCCCTTCAGGGAGGGAGGGGTTTGCCCCTCCCCCCACCCCCTCCCCTGGACCTGGACGGGGCCGGTCGCGGGCAGTTGGAGCGCTCGAAAGACCTCGGCGAGGAAGCCAAACTCGTTGGTTTTACTAGGGTTTGGGCCCCATTTTGGCCTCTTGGGGGGGGGGCTCTAATTGTAGCTACCCTCTTCTTTGATCGATCTCCTCCGAGATGGCCCCAAGAGGCGCCCAGGAGGCCCCAAGAGGCCCCAAGATGGCACCAGCAGGAGGCCCCCAAGAGGCTCCCAGGAGGCCCCCAAGAGGACCCCAAGCGGCTCCAAGAGCCCCCCCCCCCCGAGACACGCAAGACGCCGAAGAGCCTCCTCCAAGGACCGCCAAGAGACCCCAAGACGTCCCAAGAGGCCACCAATAAGCGCCCAAGAGATATCCCAGGAGGCTCCAAGAGGCATCCACGAGACCTGTCCCTTTTGCTTGCCCTCCTCCTCCTGCTCCTCCTTCCTCCTCCTACTCCTTCTCTTCCTCCTCCTCCTCCTCCTCATATTCTTCCTCCTTCTCCTCCTCCTCCTATTCATCCTCCTTCTCCCCACTCCCTCATCCATCCATCCAGCCTCCTCATTCTCCTCCTCCCTGCTTCGCACGGTTCGGCCGCCCCCCTCTTTGCTCCCGTACTTCCCTGATTACCTCAACTTCCCTGGTGAGGATACTTTTTTTTACAGCCGCAGGCGGAAGCGCCAGCGGCGGGCGGTCGCGGGCGGGCTGCGGCCGCGACTAACGGCGGGCGCGCGCGAGGCAACCTGGTGAGGATACGCGAAGCGTATAAAATTGATTGTCCAGGACCACCAGCACCCGTGGAGGTGTAGAGTGGGCGCCCCCTAGCTCCTGATCCCGCCGATTGTCCTCGTCAATGGAGGCTTGGAGCTGCACGCAGACACCACCGCGAGGCAGTCCTGGCTGGCCTCAACAAGCCTTCGGAGCAACCCAAGGCGGCCTCAACACCCCCGACCGCTCAGGGGCGCCGACTCCGCGCCGAGGGGACTGAGACTGCCCCGGGTTCCTCGGGGGAACTGTTACGGCCAGCCGGGGCTGCCTCGTGGGGCTGCCCCAGAGATCCTATGTCGCGAAAAAGTTGAAGCAACGTCAAAGTCACGACCGGGGGAATCCTAGACCCTGTCTTTCTGCGGCGCTCCACGAGCCCGATCGATGCTGTGAGGGCCCAAAGGCCTCAACGCAGGGCGAAGTCGCCGGGTGTGAGACAGTGCGACGCCAGGATCTCAGGAGGAGGATGAGGGGGGGGTCGAGGCGATACGAGGCGCCAGTCAGCTGTCTCCAAGGAAGGGCCTCACGGGAGCCCGGCGCAGGCGCCAGAGCGCCGAGAACGAATTGCAAGAGCGAGGAGGAAGGGAACCCAAACACGATCGCGTCATGAAAACATCCAGACGGAAGGTTTTTGCTATAGTTTTCGGCCTCAGGGAGCCCTCGCTGGGCCTCGGGGCCGTCAGAAAACGACTCACTATGAAAAACCAGCCATGGGGAAAGGGTCTGGATTTCTGGGGGCACCGTCCTGAAACAATCAGGACGTCGCATGTCTGGGAGGAAGGTATGACACAGGCCGTGGTGTTGGTGTTTCGCGCGCAGTTCCCAACGCTGACATCTGCCAAACATTGCGGCTCCAGTGCCGACCATGCTTCACTGTCTGTCGCAATGTGCATCGCCTTGTGTGGTGGACGAGAGCGAGGGGTAGGAGGGAATCTTGGAATTGCGCTCTGATTCGCCGAGGGGGCGGTCAGCTTGGTGCGGCACTCACTAGCTGCTGGCAGAAACACGCGGTATCTAGCAACAGGGGCGCCAAGGAGGGAAAGGAGGGAGGGAGAGGAGGGAGAGGGGGGGGGGAGGAGAGGAGGGGAGGGAGAGGGAGGGAGAGGAGGGAGAGAGGAGGGAGGGAGGGAGGGAGAGGGGGAGGAAGGAGGGGGGTGGGAGAGGAGGGAGGGGGGAAAGGGAGGATCCCCCCCATCGAGGGGAGAAGGCCCCGCCACGGTGTTCCGTCTCTGAAGCTCGGGTCTCCACGGGGCCGCTCGGGGCAGTCCTCGAGCACCCCCAGACGCCTCTCGGCGGGGCAAGGCTGCTGTAGAGAGCACCCCGAGGCTGGAAAACTGCGAGACCCGACGAACGTGTCCTCGGGGGCGCGCAAACATGGATTTGCGATCCATGGATTGGGCGCGCGGTCGCCAAATCCATGGATCGGGGGAGGTGCCCTCCCCCAAATGCGGCCGGTGCCGCCTCGTTCGGCGGCGGAAATCCGCGATGTCCCATGGAAACGGGAGCCGTCGCTAACCCACGCCCCCTTGATCCATGCTGGCGATCGCCTGACTTCCGAAAATCTCGGGCCTCCCCCCTGGCGTTGCCCCGCCCAACCCCCCCTGGGGGCGTGCGCAGATCCGGGCCCCGACGCCGGCGCCGACGACGGGGACGACGCCAACGATGCCGACGCCGATCTCAGAGCCGACAGCGACGACTCCGCCGCTGACGACGACGACGACGCCGCCGCCGCTGACGACGACCACGACGACGACGACGACGACGACGACGACGACGACGACGACGACGACGACGACGCCTCGCCCTCGTCTCCGCCTCGCGGGCAGGGCGGCGGGCGCGCGTGGGGGTGGCGGCGGCGCCGAGGCGGGGAACGTCACGCGCAGCCTCGGTCCGCACCCCGTCGCCACCGTCGTCGTCCTCCTCCTCCGCTTCGTCCTCCCAAGGCGGCTCTCGCCAGAGCTCGCCGCCGGCCTTCTTATTTCGCCGACTGTCGCGCCTGATGCTGCCTCTGGTGATTCAGGCTGACTCGTCGGGCGTTTCCCCCTTGCGGGTTTCGCCTCCCCGCTTGTGGTGTTCGTAGGCTGCGGCTGGCCGTTGGTAGCAAGCAAAATCCGTTTCTGCCTCCCCATCCTGTCTCCTCGCAAGATTAGGTTGTGCCCACGACCGCCGAGATTTCAGGCGCTCTGCTGAGGAGGTGGGGGCGTAAATTGTGCCATCGGCAGCCGGAACTCCGAACGTCCTGCCAGTGGTTTCGCCATAGGTTGCGCCGAAGGCCGCCGAAGCCTGCGCCCTGCGATCGGTTGCTTACGAGAGGGTGCACCGAGGGCCACCAGTACTTCAAATTATCTGCTACTGCTTGCGCTAGTTGTTGCACCGATGGCCACCAAAACTTCGAGGCCATGCGATTCCACCTTGGGTTGGCACCCACGGCTGGCTAAACTTGAACCGTCGTGCAGTTGGTTGCGTCGTATGTTGCGCCATATGTTGTCGAAGCTTAGAACGTCTTTTTTCATGTCAGGCGGAGCTGGTTTCACTGCGCCCTGGCTTTGACCAGGCGGCGAAGGTTTGATTGCGCACGTAGGTTGTCAGTGCTCGACGATTGGTTTCGGCTGCCCTTGGCAGCGCAACCGCCCCCCGAGCCTCGACAACCCCAAGCTCGGCTGCCCCAGCATCTTTTATTCCGAGCCCACTGGACAGATGGAGAAGAAGGAGGAGGCTCAGAGAAGGGGAAACAGGTTCAGAAAAGGGAACGCACACGAAGAGACGAAGAGGGAGAACGCAGGACAGAGGCTGCCGTTTTGGGGCCGCGGTATGCTTCTGTCTTCCCGAGCCGATCGACCTCGTCTCCTGGCCAGCGGACCGCCGAGGCGATCTCGCGGAGGTGCTGCGGCCCCTGCACGGCGCTGTCGGCCTTGCACGTCCGCCACCTCGGGTCGACTGTGCGGGGGGCCTCCTCCGCACCTCCCGGCCAGGCCGCCCACGACACACGTGGATGCCATCCGAAGCGCTCCCGGCTGCCAGCCGAGGCCCTCCCAGGCTGTCCCAGGCTGGCGGCGGCCCCATGGACGCCAGAGGCGCCAAGATTGTCGGGACAAGCTGGGAGCGGCATATCTGTAATTAGATCTACGTGTATACATATATACACATGTGTGGATTAGCCAGCGTGGACGCCAAACAGTGCGTTATATGATTAACCAAGAGAAAGACCCCTAAGCCTTTGGGAGGGGACCTAAGTTAGGAGGGCCAAAACATTATGACAGGGGGGTCTTTTTCTGCACATATGTCGAACCAAACAGCCCAAACATATTACCCCGAATGCAAAGACGGGAACCGTCTTCACTGTGTATTGAGGTTAGGGGTTCTTCTCTTCTCGATGACTATAGCACACCACGTGGTACGGTCCAAATTGTGTGGTGCAAGATCTGTATATTCATATGTATGCACATAGAGAACACAGACCCTGCAGGCGTGTGTGAAACGTTGTCCCTTTGAGCCGTCGTCGCCGCCGCCGCTCCTACCCTTTCTGTGCGCCCTCCTCCTCAACCAACCCAGCCGAACGGAAATCAAACAACATGGTAATTCAGTCGACGGGAAACCCCTTTCCTTTGATTCCTTCCCTGGCGAGGAGGGGGAAGGGGTAGCGGGGGGGGGCCCTGGGGGGGTAGCAAGGGGGGGGTCCCGAAGGCCGTGGCCTCCCTACCGGAAGGTCCCCTCTGGACAAGGAAGGGGGCGGTCCCGTTGTGGACAGGGGGGGCTCAGGACCCCTTCCCCCGCCTCCCCCCTGCGGACGAGGGGACCACTAAAACGACGCGAAGATCGGGACAAAATCGGATCTGGATAACTCGAAATCTCTGAGAATCGGCGGGTTTGGAGGATGTATGGGGCGCCGCGGCCGCTCCAGAGCGTTCCGGAACGCTCTGAGAGCGCTCTGGAACGCTCTGGAGCGATTTATCCCGATCCTAGCCCTGTTTTACTCACCCCTGCGGACGAGGGGACCACCGTCCCCCCCATCCTCCCGGACCCCCCCCCCCAGAGGCATCCTCACTCTCTTTTCTGCTGCGGCGGGGTGCTGCGTGTCTCCCGGCAGGCCTCCCAGGAAGCCTCGGACCTGCTCCGTGGGCGGCTCCAAGCTGCCGTGGAGCTCCGCAGAGAGTCCTGCAAGAGGTCCCCCAACAGAGCCCAATAGGCTCCAAGTAGAGCCCCGAGAAAGGCTCTTGAGCGTCAGCGTCGTCGTCCCCCCTTGAGAGTCGGCGGTGCTGGCCGTGAGGCCTTTTCGATATACATATGATGTGTAAGCTACGCGTGGTGCAACCGATGTTAAACAACGAACGTATTGCAAGTTATGTGGTGCAATATATGTACTGCAGTCGGTGCTGCAACGTATGTGGTGCAACATATGTGGTGTAACGTATGTGGTGCAATCGATGTGGTGCCATATGTGTTAAGCAATCTAGGTGGTGCAACATATGTGGTATATGTATGTGGTGCGATCTCTGTAGCGCAATCTACGTGGAACAATATATACGGTGCGATGGACGTAATGCATTAGATGTGATACAAACTGCGTGGTGCAATCTACGTGGTCCTATCTATGTGGCCCAACCTATGTAATGCCCTAAATGTCGTACAATACCTGTAGTGTGAGCTAGGTGGCGAAAGCCAGGTGGTGCAATCGATGTGGTGTGAGCTATGGCATGTGACCTATGCGGTGTAAGCAGCGGCGACGGACGGCGGCGACGGCGGCGACAACAAGCGCGGCGACCGACAGCCACGCGCAGAAGCAGCGGCGACGGACGGCGGCGACGGCGGCAACAAGTACGGCGACCGACAGCCAAGCACAGGAGCAATGACGACGGACGGCGGCGATGGAGACAACAAGCCAGTTGGGCCGACAGCAACGCCCAGTTAAACCAATAAGACTCCAATTGCAAGCACTGGTAGGGGAATATATATATATACATACATACATAGATATAGAGAGAGATGCATGCGTGTGCTATGTGTATATAAATACATACGCATATACATATATCCGCCACCGTGTTCTGAGGCACGAGTTGGAGTGCCCTCAAGTCCCTTCGAGTTCTCTGTGCTGATTTACGTAGACAATCTTCAAGGGGCCCGCAGACCAGAGTTCTGAGCGCTCGCAGGGGGCTCCTGGGCGCTGACGGGGGATCCACCCCGCGTGACTTTTCGAGAGGCCAATTGCTCGGGACATGCCTGACCAACATGGTTTCAGATGGCCCCGGGGACCGTCCTGGAGCCATCTTGGGCGCCTCTTGGACCGTCCAAGAAGCCAGAATCGTCAAAATCCAATGGTTTGTTGTGCGGTCTTCGACCGCCTGTTCGGTTTTCAGAGCGGCCAAGGCGGCCCAGGAGGCGCCCAAGATCGCTCCAAAACAGCCCGAGAGCCCCCAAGAGGGCCCAAGAGGTCCCCAACACGGCCCCAGAGGCGCCCAAGATGGAGAACACGAACTGACACTTTGAGCGCGCCCAAGGATTCCCCCACAAGCTACCGAGGTGCGCACAAAGAAGCCCCCAGATGCCCCAAGAGGGACCGAGAGGCCCGAATCAGGCCCCAAGAAGCTCCCAAGACGCCCCACAGCACCCCCAACACCGCCCCCACCCAAGAGATCCTCACGGGCATCCAGTATACGGCCTCTGACCTGCAACCCAGGCACAACGGCGGGATGGGCCGAAGGCCACTATATCCGCCGCCCTCTGATTTATCACAAGGGTGCCTGGCGTGCTGAGGTTCAGGAGGATCTTGGTCCTTTCTAGAACTCCCCCATGGGGCTTCGGCCGATGTCGCCGGCCACGTGGGAGGCCCGCAAACAAAATCAACAGCCACAACACATGCTCCAAGACGGCTCAAGGTGGCACTCAAGGCTCCCGGGATGGCCCAAGATGGCCTGCAAGATACCTCCAAGACGGCCCCAAGAGAGCCAAACATGGCCCCAAGATGCACCAAGACGGCCCAGTATGCAACCAAGACGGCCCAAGACAACCTCAAGATGGCCCCAGACGTCCCAATAGGTCCCCTAAGAGTCCTCCGAGACGGCCTAAAAGACCTCCAAGAGGTCCTCCAGGAAAACCAAAAGAGGCAACAAACATTGATTTCACGTAGTTGTTTGAAGGATTCTGGCATTTGCTTATTTTTGACCGTCCGACGGCCCCAGACGGCCCAAGAGCCCACCAAGATCGCCCAGGAGGCTTCCAATATGGCCCTAGAACAGCCCAAGAGGCCCCCAAGACGGCCCTAAGAGGGCCCCCAAACGGCCTCCAAGACTCCCAAGATGGCCTCCAAGACTGCCCTGGACCCCAAGACGGCTTCCGACGGCGTCAGACGGGCCGGGAACACCATAAGACAACCAAAAAAGGCCCCCAAGAAGCCCCCAGAGGCCCCCAAGAGGCCTCGGCCCAAGGAGGCCCCCAAGATGCCTCCAAGAGGCCCCAGAAGCTCCCAGCAGGCCCCAAAAATGCCCCCAGGTGCTCCCAAAATGCCCCCTCCTCTTCCTCCTCCTCCTCCTCCTCCTCCTCCTCCTCCTCCTCCTCCTCCTCCTCTTACTCCTCCTCCTCCTCCTCCTCCTCCTCCTCCTCCTCCTCCTCCTGATCTTCCCCGCCATCATCCGCCGAATGCTCCTCCAAAGGTTTCCACGACGGCTGGGGGAACACACATGGTCCGACAGCTTGGCAGAGCTCTGGCCACAACGTCCGGCCATATGGGCGATCCCAAAGGCGGGGGGGGCGGCGGTGGTTCGCCGTGGACGTCTTCGACACATGAATACATCGATCGAGTAATACATACACGTGTACTCCAGATTTCGTAATAAAGGGAGGGGGGTCTCTTTTCGGGGGGGGTCTCTTCCAGGCTATCTTGGAGGGCCTGGGGGGTCTGGGGACGATGTTTTGGAGGGTTCTCCCACGGGGGAGGTCTGACATGGCTTGTCTTGGAGGGTCCAGACCCCCTCCCTTTTATTACGAAATCTGGAGTATCTGTATCGAATTGCGTATTATCTGCACACGCATGTACACACACTGACTTACCAAAGGCATGCGGGCCGTCGCCCGAACCAGAGTGCACGCGCGCCCGACGTCGTGCTCGCTCGTTCCGTGCGCGGGCCACTGGCACTCTCGACCCCCCCGCGGGGGAGTGGGCGCTCTCGCCCTGGGCCCCTCCGCAGGAGCCCGGGAGCTGCCCCCCCCCCCGGAGACCGCAGGACTGCGAGCAGCAGCCTGGCGGCGTCTCCGAGACATGCCTGGGTCTCCGTTGCTCGGGCAGCTTGTCTGCAAGGGCCCTTCCTCACTCTCTCTGTCTGTCTGTCTGTCTGTCTGTCTATCGATCTATCTATATATATATATATATCTATCTATCTATCTATCTATCTATCTATATATATATCTATATATATATCTATATATCTATATATATATATGTATATACCTATCTATCGATCGATCTATCTATCTATATATATATATAGATATATATCTATCTATATATCTATATATACATCTATATATCTATCTATCTATCTATATAAATATATATCTAAATATATACATAACTATCTACATATATATCTATCTATATATATATCTATATATCTATATATCAACATGTCTATCTATCTATATATCTATCTATATATCTATCTATCTATCTATCTATCGATCTATCTATATATCTATCTATCTATGTATCTATCTATCTATCTATCTATCGATAGATCTATCTATATATCTATCTATCTATCTATATATCTATATATCTATCTATCTATCTATATCTATCTATCTATCTATCTATCTATCTATCTATCTATCTATCTATCTATCTATCTATCTATCTATCTATCTATCTATCTATCTATCTATCTATCTATATATATCGTCTCTCTATATATATACACATAATTTTCCGTCCGGTGAGGGAGCCTGGGCTCTCGAAATCGGTGGTCGATCGTGCCCCCCCCCCTCCCGTCGAGGCCCCCCACCGCGGCCCACCGTGCGCGTAGGCGTGCAAGGCTGTTGAGGCAAGCGCTTTCCGAGACTCGCGGGGCAACCACTCGCAAGTGGCCTGGGCGACCCAGGCCACTTGCGATCCAGGCGGACCCAGCCTGGGTCCCCTCGGCGGACCCGGGCTGGGTCCGCCGAGGGGATTTGCGATCCACTACATCGAGGCAGATGTTTGCTTTCAGGACCTTTCGCGAGCAGGCACTTTGCGAGCAGTGGGACGCGCTCGGCAGCTGTCGAAGGCATTCTGCCGCAGGGGTGCCATGTTCCACACCCGACAGGTCGGGGCCGCTTGCTTTGCAGGAGTGGCTTCCCGACACGCCCCGTACACTCGGCGTACCGTGGCCGCCAGGCCCAGAGTGTGCCGGTAGTCCCTCGGCGTCCTACCTCCCCTCCTCGGGCGGGGATCGCTCGAAGCACAATACCTGCTCTGCTGTGAATCCTCGGAGCGCCTGGAGACTGGCAAGCCTTGCCAGCAAGGGCCCTGGCTGCGCACAGCCAGCCCCCCTCATCAGGGAACGCCTCGGCGGGCCTCGACATGCCCCCGGAGGTGGCCCCAGCTGGCCTCCACAGGCCCCCCGAGCAGCCCCTGGGGCGGTCTCAACACCCCGGCGCCGCCGCCGGCGGCGCCACCTGGGGCGCTGCGCGACCCGGGATTGGGGCGTCGAGGCCGTCCCAGGGACAGCCTGCTGAGGCCAGCCAGGGCCACCTGGGCGGGCCACCTGTGCGCCGCCCGAGGCCTCCCGTGGACCTGGTCGGCATAGCTCTCGGGCAAGAGATCCGGCCTCTGGCGGCCGTTCGGGACGAGCTGGGCACCTCCAGCACGCTCTCGGCGAGGCGCAGCTGCTGGAGGGCACCCCGAGGCTGGAACGCCGCCGAGAGCCCACGAGAACGCCCAAGAGCCTCAGACGCCGGAGGTCCGGGTTTGGGAAGCCCTGCGCTGCCCAGGGTTCCACGCCGCGCCACCTCCTCTGTGGGAACGGCAAGTCGACCCAGAACGCCTCCGGGCACCGCTGCAGCCCGCGCGACGCGGCCTCCGCGGCAGTGAGCCGAGTCACGAGCCGCACGAAGCAGCCGATCATCGAGTCCTCGCCGCGCGCGTTCATGCAGCCTGCGAGGCGAGGACAGGACGCGAGGTCGGGATCCCCCCCCCAGAGGATAGAAGAGCAGAAAACGGCACGGGCAGAACCTTTCGGAGGTCCGCGCGGATTTCTTGGATCGGCGCTGGAGCCCCCTCCCCCTCCCTGCGCAAGGGTGTCCAGCGCAGATCCAAGAATTCCGTGCGGAGCGTGGAAAGTTTATGTTCATGCCGTTGTTATCACGTAGCCTCGTCTCTGTCAGGGGGGGTCGGGAATGAAACGTTGCCCGAAATTCTGCCCGAGTGTGACCGACACCAGCGCCCGAGTGTTTCCGAGCGCGCCAGAGTGTGACCGAGGTTCTCGCGTTAAAGCCAAAACTCGGTTACAGGTTCGGTCCCCCCAGGCGTTCGGCCACAATTCTGCGCACATGTTCGGTCACCATGTATTCCGGTCACGTACTTTTTCGGCCGATAGCGGCCAGGCGCTATGGGACTCTTCGGCGGCGCGCCCACAGGGTGGCGGCAGAAGGGGCGCGCCCTCTCAGAGGGCTCAGCAGGCATCCGGCCATCTGAGCAGCGCTCTGAGCCTCCGCCGCAGCCGCGGGGAGCTTCCCCAAGGGCCGGCGGGCGCCTGCTCCAGGGAAGCCCCGGTGCCCTCTGCAGAGGCCCGGCCCCTCTCAGGCTCCCCTCCTCGGCGCGCCGCCGAGCCCTTGCCAGCGGGCTGCGGGGGGACTCGGACCACGGGCCTGCCATCGCTCGGACGTCCATTCCCTGTGCTTTTTTCGATTTCGAGCGTGGTTTTTTCGCCAAATGATCAAGGATGCTCCTCGATGGCCCTCGCCGAAGGAAAAATGCACACGTCCGAGCGATGCCGAGACGGGCCGCGCGGGCCGCATCCCGGCACCAGGCTCGCCCCCCGTGCAGGAGGACTGGCGGAGGCAGGAGGACAGGGGCAGCCACAGGGGCTAGGGGTGCCGGGAGCGGGGGCCGAAAAGGCCGGGTGGGCGTGCGAGGGGAGGGGGGCACGTGCACGAAGGCCACGGTCGGGAGCTTCTGCTTCGCGCGCCGCGGCGGCGGCCCAGGCGGCACGCTGCGCCCAGCAAGCCGACAGCGTGTCGCTCCACCCCGCGGGACGGCGACGCTCGGGGCCGGGCCGTGGCTGGTGGGTCGCGCCGAAGCGGCAGCACGGCACACGAAGACAGAGTGCAGCGGCCGAGGTCGCTGCGGACTGCCGGGGAGACCCCAGGAGGCTTCCCCCCTCTTCGGCTACAGGCGTAAGAGTGGCCCTGGGTAGGAGTGACCTTTGGTGCGCAGCTGTTGGGGGCGCGAGGGAGCCAAATTTAACCCAAGGGCGCGGGCCGCTTGCACCGCATCGCGCTCGGCGATCGGGGGGAGCCCGATGAGCCCGCACCAAAGGCCCCTCTGGCGAAAGGTCACTCTTACGTGTACTCCAGATTTCGTAATAAAGGGAGCGGGGTCTCATTTCGGGGGGGGTCTCTTCCAGGCTATCTTGGAGGGCCTGGGGGGGTCTGGGGACGATGTTTTGGAGGGCTCTCCCACGGGGAGGGGGTCTGAAATGGCTTCTCTTGGAGGGTCCAGAGTAGTAGTAGTAGTAGTAGTAGTAGTAGTAGTAGTAGTAGTAGTAGTAGTAGTAGTAGTAGTAGTAGTAGTAGTAGTAGTAGTAGTAGTAGTCGTAGTAGTAGTAGTAGTAGTAGTAGTAGTAGTAGTAGTAGTAGTAGTAGTAGTAGTAGTAGTAGTAGTAGTAGTAGTAGTAGTAGTAGTAGTAGTAGTAGTAGTAGTAGTAGTAGTAGTAGTAGTAGTTAGTAGTAGTAGTAGTAGTAGTAGTAGTGTAGTAGTAGTAGTAGTAGTAGTAGTAGTAGTAGTAGTAGTAGTAGTAGTAGTAGGTAGTAGTAGTAGTAGTAGTAGTAGTAGTAGTAGTAGTAGTAGTAGTAGTAGTAGTAGTAGTAGTAGTAGTAGTAGTAGTAGTAGTAGTAGTAGTAGTAGTAGTAGTAGTAGTAGTAGTAGTAGTAGTAGTAGTAGTCTAGTAGTAGTAGTAGTAGTAGTCGTAGTAGTAGTAGTCGTAGTAGTAGTAGTCGTAGTAGTAGTAGTAGTAGTAGTAGTAGTAGTAGTAGTAGTAGTAGTGGTAGTAGTAGTAGTAGTAGTAGTAGTACTAGTAGTAGTAGTAGTAGTAGTAGTAGTAGTAGTCGACCTTTGCGCCCTGCGCCGAGCCGGCTCCCCTGAGGGCGCCGGGGCCGTCCCGAGCGGCCGCCCTCGGCCCCGAGCTGCGGCCCAGCCAGAGGGCCGACCGGAGTCTAGCGCCCCTCGGAGCCCGGCGCCGCCCGCGGCGAAGCCACGACGGGCCATCTCCGCAGCGCGTCGGGCCCTGGGAAACCATCACGGGTCGACCAAGCTCGACGAGCGAAGCAAACATATGGTCAGGAGCTCGTACCGCGATGTTTCGTGAAGGTTGTACCTCAAGGACCGGGGGACAGACAGGGGCGGCAAAACACTCACCCTGAGTCAGCAAGGCATCGCCGATGCGTCGCCGGCAGAGCCCTGGCGGCGAAGCAGCATGCTGATGAGCGCGGGGGAGCACCCACACTGCGAACGGCGAGGGTGATGTGCTGCCTGCAAGGACCGACCCCAAAATGTGTAAAACATACTTACAGTCAAAACGGGAAACTAAACGAAACCCAACGTGCGAAACGAACGTTTGAAACAACACCTTTGCAAAACGAAACGAACAGCGAGACGAAGCCTTGAACACAAAACGAAAAAACGAAACGAAACAACAACGAAGCACGAACAGGAAACCAAACACAAAGGCCCAAACCAAAACAAACAACGTTGTGGTCGGCCCTTGGATGCCTGAATACGCCGGGCAGGACAGGGCCAACGCGGCCCAGATCTGCGGGCAGGACCGGGGCGCGCGACGAGCAGAAGGGTGCGGCGACGAGGTCGTGGGGCCCTCCGGGGCTTCCCACAGGCACTCTTGCTGCGAAGCCTTGTTGGTCTTTGACCTTTTGGAAGAAGCCCCCCCCCGAGCCCGTCCCAGACATGCGACGTCCTGATTTTTTCAGGACGGCGTCCCTGGAAGTCCCAGCCCTCCCTGGGACCGGTTCTTCATCCTGAGTCGTTTTTCGACGGTCCCGAGGCCCAGCGAGGGCCCCCAGAGGCCGAAAACTATAGCAAGAACCCTCCGTCCGGATATTTTTTTTCGACGCGATCATGTCTGGGGCCCCTCCCTCCCTTCCAGCCCCCATCCCTGTTCCCCCCCCCGGGCCTGGCGTGGGATAGGGGGCCCCTCGCCTGGACGGGGGGAGCGTCAGCAGGCACCGGAACAGGCCGGCGGACAGCGCGTAGAACTGCCCCTGCTGGAAGGCGTTCTCGTGGAAGGCGTCGCCTCCTGTCTTGAGAGTGCCCTGGACGTTCCCATGGTGTTAGGTCGGGCCTGTCCTCCTACAGGGGGATTGTGGACGAAAAATAAAAGATGGTCAACAATTACCCTGTGACGTACCCAACCCATTTGTATCAATGGAAACGAGGAGTTGGCCGAAACTTGCATGGACAATCAACTTGATGTGTAAGCTACTTGGGACACGCGCCTATGGCATGATGCGCAGGAGAACCATACAAGGACGAGGGGCGACAGCTACAGGCTCGAAGAGGACATGGGGAGTCGGGAACGCAGAGCAGGAGAAAAACGTGCGGGAAGCCGAACCATCAGCACGGCAGCAGCAGAGGGAAGGTGACTGCAGGAGGAGAACAAGGACGAAAGCGGCGTCTAATTTGAGTCTGCGGTGGGTACCCACTGTGCTGTGCCCCTCAGCAGCCCTCGAAAGTGGCGACAGTTTCACAGATCGCAGCCCCCCAGGGATGGCGAGGTCTAATTTGAGTCTGCGGTGGGTACCCACTGTGCTGTGCCCCTCAGCAGCCCTCGAAAGTGGCGACAGTTTCACAGATCGCAGCCCCCCAGGGATGGCGAGGTCTAATTTGAGTCTGCGGTGGGTACCCACTGTGCTGGGCCCCTCAGCAGCCCTCGAAAGTGGCGACAGTTTCACAGATCGCAGCCCCCCAGGGATGGCGAGGTCTAATTTGAGTCTGCGGTGGGTACCCACTGTGCTGGGCCCCTCAGCAGCCCTCGAAAGTGGCGACAGTTTCACAGATCGCAGCCCCCCAGGGATGGCGAGGTCTAATTTGAATCTGCGGTGGGTCACTGTGCTGGGCCCCCCAGCAGGCCTCGAAAGTGGCGACAGTTTCACAGATCGCAGCCCCCCAGGGATGGCGAGGTCTAATTTGAGTCTGCGGTGGGTACCCACTGTGCTGGGCCCCCCAGCAGGCCTCGAAAGTGGCGACAGTTTCACAGATCGCAGCCCCCCAGGGATGGCGAGGTCTAATTTGAGTCTGCGGTGGGTACCCACTGTGCTGTGCCCCTCAGCAGCCCTCGAAAGTGGCGACAGTTTCACAGATCGCAGCCCCCCAGGGATGGCGAGGTCTAATTTGAGTCTGCGGTGGGTACCCACTGTGCTGTGCCCCTCAGCAGCCCTCGAAAGTGGCGACAGTTTCACAGATCGCAGCCCCCCAGGGATGGCGAGGTCTAAATTGAGTCTGCGGTGGGTACCCACTGTGCTGTGCCCCTCAGCAGCCCTCGAAAGTGGCGACAGTTTCACAGATCGCAGCCCCCCAGGGATGGCGAGGTCTAATTTGAGTCTGCGGTGGCTACCCACTGTGCTGTGCCCCTCAGCAGCCCTCGAAAGTGGCGACAGTTTCACAGATCGCAGTCAAAGGCAGGGGGGAAGAGAGGGACGGGAGGGGGTGGGAAGGAGACACGCGTGGGAAGGAGACGCGCGAGCAGTGCTCTATTCAAAACGAGAACCCAACGCAGGAGGGTTGGGAAACAAAAATATCCCCGAATGGTCAAACATTTATTTTGAAAACTCGTCCCCGTACTATTTTTTACTATTTCTGAAGTTTCCTCCTGTAGAAGGACAGGCCCGACTTAACCATAGTGCCAGGTCGGGCATGTCCCCCCCCCCCCACAGGCGGATTTTGGATGGAAAAGAAACAATATCTCAAACATGGCCCAGACAGTACTCAAAAGAAAAGCGGAGCATCGTCCCCAGACTATGTCATGACTATTTGTGAATACTCCTCCTGCAGAGGGACACGCCCGACTCAACCATAGTACAGCCCGCCGTTCGCCTCGCTCCAGTCTGCGGGCTTGAGCGTCTTCCGCTGGCGCCCCACCCTGTCCGGGTCCAGGAGGTCGTCGACGATCGTGCGCACGAAGGGGAAGGTGTCGATGTCGCACTTCCCGAAGTGCGTCGCCCAGGGGAAGAGCTCCGCGGCGCGCCGGAGGGCCAGCCACGCCTTCGCCATCACCCTGCCCTGCAGCTTGCCGGTGGAGACCACCGGCCCGGCCTGGAAGATGTCCGTGGTGTTCAGCACGATCATGTCCCCATGCCGCATCCTCTCCTGTTTGGACGCCCGAAACGGGTACGGAAACAATGGGCACAATGCCCAAGAAGAAATGCTGTCCCAGACCAACAGCGGCCGCTGTTGGGCAGGCGGCCTTCCTGTCTCGAATGGACACGGGCCGCGGCGGCGCGGACCGCGAGTCCTGTTTGAAATGAGCAGGAACTGATGTTGGGCATTCCACCCATTCTTTCCGTACTCCAGATTTCGTAATAAAAGGGAGAGGGTCTGGACCCTCCAAGACAAGCCATTTCAGACCTCCCCAACGGGAGAACCCTCCAAAACATCGTCCCCAGACCCCCCCAGGCCCTCCAAGATAGCCTGGAAGAGACCCCCCCCCGAAATGAGACCCCCCTCCCTTTATTACGAAATCTGGAGTACCCATTTCGGTCGTGCTGATCCTGACGCACCTGCTCGTCCGTGTGGCCGTCCACCCCGACCGCGAAGGCCGCGAACGCCCCGCAGCCGCGCCAGGGCTGCGGCGGGGCGCCGTCGGCGTCGTCGACGCGGCAGATGCCCGGGCGGCGCATCCAGGTCCGCCGGTGCAGCATTCGGTACGCCTCCTCGCGTTAAGTTGGGCGTGTCCCCCTACAGGGGGATTTTCGACGATTTTTTTTGTTTTTTTTAAAACCCCCAAATGCTCCAAAATGGTCAAACAATACTAGAAAAATAGTTCCCAGCCTATTTTTGACCTCTTGTTTGACTATTTTCTGGGTATTTCCCTACCTAGGCTCTGCCTAGAAGGGTTCTTACTCTGTTAGCTTAAAGGGCCAGGCAATGGAAAGCGCCCCGGGCGGTTCCCCCAGTCCCCTGGGAGCGTTCCCCCAGTCCCCTGGGAGCTTTAGCTTTAGCTTTAGCTTTAGCTTTAGCTTTAGCTTAGCTTCAGCTTAGCTTCAGCGCAGCTTCAGCGCAGCTTTGGCTTAGTTTTAGCTTAGCGTTAGCTTAGCGTTAGCTTAGCTTCAGCGTAGCTTTGGCTTAGTTGTAGCTTAACTTTAGCTTAGATTTAGCTGATATGTAGTTTAGATGTAGCTTAGTTTTAGCTTAGCTGTAGCTTAGCTTCAGCTTAGCTCGAGCTTAGCTTCAGCTTAGCTTCAGCTTAGATCTAACTTAGGTTTGTCTTAGCTTTAGCTTAGATTTAGCTTAGCGTTAGCTTAGCTTTAGCTTAGATTTAGCTTAGCTTTAGCTTAGCTTTACTGTTACTACTAATGCTGCTTTCCTAGGGGCTCCAACTCCTAGGTAGGGTCGCACTGGGATAATTTTATTTTTCGTCGAAAACCCCCCTGTAGGCTGGGTAGTCGAAACCAATCTGGCGCCAATCTGGCAGGCCCAATCTGGCAAACGGGGGCAATCTGGCGAGGGAGCCAGCGCGAGTCCAGTCTGGCGAATAACCCAAATCCTCCAATATGGCCAGGCCAGATTGGCCCTTTGGGCCCAATCCAGTCTGACAGTCTTGCCTTCGACTACCCACCCTGTAGGGGGACAGGCCCGACTTCATCCTCGCGGGCCACGTCGAGGACGACAATGACCAGCCGGACCGCGGAGGGCCGCACGGCCGGGCGCCCCTCGCAGCAGGCGGCGTCAAAGTTCTGGGGCTGAAGGCCAAGAGGCGGCGCACCCTATTTCGGGTCGGGCGAAAGGGGCGGATAGCAAAGGGGGGGGGGTGCAAATCAGCTCACGTAGCTGACTCTCCCAGCGCCCCCCGGCGCCGGAGGCAGCTATATATCGAGGAATGGGCCCCTCGGTGAGGCCGAAACCAGCTGCATGCAGCAAATTTCGTAACCCCCCCTTTCCCAATCCCCCCCTTTCGCCCGGCCCGACTCTTGCAGCTCTGCCAGCCTGGAACGGACCCCTGCCCCTACGATGGGCATCGCCTCCCGTCCAATTCCGCTCTCGAGGGCTCCCTCGGCTTCCGAGGGCGCCTCCCTGAGATTGGCATCGCCTCTTGGCCTGCCGTGCTCAGGGATAGGGATGAGCTCGAGGCTGGCCAACAGCTGCCTGAGGCCCGCGGCGGACGCCCCTGAGATCCGCTGCCGTGATTTTTTCAATACGGGGCCCCTGCAAGTCTCGACCCTTTCCCCAGGGCCAGTTTTTCATCCTGAGTCTCAGTCGTTTTCTAACGGTCTCGAGGCCCAGCGAGGGGCCCTATAAGGGCCGAACTTTGCGAAACACCTGAGTCTCGATGTTTCCAATGCGCTGGATCTCTGGGTCGCCCCAGAGCGATTGCTGGTGGTCCCAGGGCCCGATGACGGGCCCCGTGGGCCGAAAACGAAAAAGAACTGCCGCAGTGGAGAAACCATGCCGCCGGAGGTCTGGGATTCGGCAACCGTCGGGTCACGTCCCGTCTCTCTTGCGGCCGTTCGGAGCGATCCTGGCAGCCCAGGAGCGCTCTCGGCGAGGCACAGCCGCGGGAAGGCATCCCGAGGGTGGCACACCGCAGAGAAACAGCGAACATGTCCGAAAACCTCACGCCTTGAACCTGGGAGCATCGATATCGTCGGAGACCTGGGGTGCGGCTGCGCCGTCTGTTGTTCTTCGCTTGAAGTTGCTCCAAATCCTCTGCAACCCATCTACCTTTGAGCAGGGACCGACCGTCTCGGTACTCCTGTAGGCCTACCGCGAAATGTTCTTAATTCGAAGAACAGAACGTGAAATAAACGCAACATTATTCTCAGAACATGAATCCGACTCATTAAAACAGAACGGTCTCAGTCAGAAACGTGCTAAGAACATGACGTGCAAACCACAAGACGCTATGATGACATCTTGCGGTGGGCCTACAGGCCAGCCGAGACGCCCCGCCGCTGCTTGAGACCTCCCCCGCGCTGGCCGCAGCCGCGACCTCGCTCGGCAGCTCGGCCGGCAGTCGCTCGCCCCCGCCCTCGCCCGGGCCCTCGCCCGCGCCGCCGGCGGCGGCGGCGGCCTCGTCGCCGCCGCCGCCCGCGGCGGCCTCGGCGGCGCTCGGCTCCGGCGGCGCGCCGTCGTCGCCAGCGGCGGCGGCCTCGCCGGCGCCTGGCCCCGGCGGCCTCGGCCTCGGCGGCTGCGGCGGCGCCCTCGGCGCCGAGCCGGGCTCGCCACGGGGGGTGCCGGCGGCGGCGAGCCAGCTGGAGCCTGCGGGCTCGGCCTGCGCTGCCTCGCCCCGGGGCCCGGGCTCCTCCGGGGGGGGGGGGGGCTGTGCCTCGACGCGCCCGCGGGAGCGCTTCCACGAGGGCTCGGAGACGTGGCACCCCCCGCAGTTGCGAAGAAGAGCGAGTGGGGTGGGACGCGGGGTGGGTCGCAGGGCGGGTCGCGGGGTGGGTCGCCGGTACGACAACAAACACCAGGCAACAAGCACCAAGTAAGAAAAACAACCAGCAACAAACAACTAGCGGCAAGCATCAATCAAGAAGCAACAATCAAGACAACAAGACAGCAACCAGCGAACCACAAACAACAAACAACACGAGCAACCACAACAATCACCAACACAGCACAACCAACGACAACAACAACAGCAGCACCAACAACAGCACCAACAACAGCACCAACAGCACCAACAGCACCAACAGCGCCAACAGCGCAAACACCAAACAACAACAGCAGCAGCAACGAGACCAACACCATCCACAAAAAAACAACACCGACACCACAATCAACAACAACAACAACAACAACAACAACAACAACAACAACAACAACAACAACAACAACAACAACAACATACTGACCGACAACAACGGCAACAACAAAAACAACAACAACAGCAACAGCAACAGCAACAGCAACACCACCACCAACAACAACAACAACAACAACAACAACATCATCACCAACAATACCACCCACAACAACACCAACGTGTATTCTGTGCAGCCCCTGGCAGGGGAAGAGAGGATGGACGGAAGGAAGTGACAAGGGGCAGGCGGGTTGCTGACGCCTGCGTCCTGCATGAATCGCGAGGAAGTCTCGAGCGATAACGCGATTTCCAAATCGAGAACGTGATTCCTGAGTGTCGATGGCGCGGCGTTTGAATCCGCCGGCCCCATTGTGGGGCCACCAGGCTGTAGGATGAGGGCATGCTGCACCCTGCACCAATTGCAGCTTCAAGTCTCCAATGGTACAGTCCTGCTTTCTACTTCCTATTGTAAATTGTTGAAGTCCGCGCGAGGGGGGGGATTCCCAAACCGGAAATTCAACAAGCCCAAATCGCGTTGCCTGAATTTCCGGGGGGTGGAGGGGGGGACAAGTGAACATACATGAGAGTCGCGCCCCCGAAACTATCATCCCTCGTAAAGTACGCAATGGTCGCGTCCCCGAAATCACAAACCTTAGTTAAATCAAGCAACTTTGCGCCCCGAGGCAACAAAAGTTTGCAAATCACGCCGTGTCTGCACCCCCGCAGCCATAATCCCAAGTTAATTGCACAAGATTCGCGTCCCCGAGGCCAAAAAACATCGCACAATTCTTGCAACCCTGAGGCAACAAACCCTTGAAAATTATACCAGACTCGCGTCTCCGAGGCCATACACCCTAACACATTACGCCATATTCGCACTGCCGAGGCCAAGAGTGCTCCAAGGTGGCCGAAGATGGTTCCAAGATGGCCCAAGAAGGCCCCAAGATGCCAAGATGCCAAGATCAAAGATTTTACATCGGTTTTTGAAGGATTGTGGCTTTCTCGACTTTTCGGCTTTCCGACGCTCCAAGACGGCTCAAGAAGCTCCCACGACCACCCCAAGACAGCCCAAGATGCTTCCAAGAGGGCCCCAAGACGGCCCAAGAGGGCTCCAGGATGGCCCAAGAAGCGCTCCGAAAACCTCCGACAAGCCCCCGTGAGGCCCCAAGAGACCGCCAAGAGGCCCCAAGAGGTCCCAAGTGGCGTCCAAGACGCGCCCAAGAGGCTCCAAGAGGCCCAATAAATACCCCACGAGGCCCCAAGAAGCTCCTCCCAAAAGGCGCCCAAACCGCCTCCAAGAGGCCCCCGAGAGGCTCCCCACGACACCCCAACGCATATACAA